CTTTTTCCTCCTCCATTTCATATCTCTTGCCCCCTCCCCCACAAGCAATCTTTGAAAGGTCCCCTCCAAATTCATTATCTGTGAACAGCTTAGTAGTGTCAGGGATGGGGTGGAATTTATGTGAGCCTTATTGACATTTATTTCTTCTGCAATTTTTCTGAACTTTTAATTGAGGAAAAATTCATTTTGAATTTTGGGACAACTGAGGGTGAAGGAGAATGCTTTTCCTGAATCCAAGTAGTACAGTGTTCCTTACCAACAGCACTAGTTCCTATTAACACTGGGCTAGCAGTTCAAATTATGCAGATCAGAAGATAGGCCTAGAAGATAATTGATGCAGAGGTCTTGTAAATCTCAGAATCTGCAGTAAAGAAAGAAGGTATTGGGGGGGGGTGTCTTTTTCAAAGTCACTGGGGGTTGGGAGCATATACATTTTAATAATAACCACAACAATAAGAATTCATAAGGAGCTCATTCCAGCTTCTAGTAAGTTAGTATTTGGCTGTCCATGGGCACTGGCTTCTGAGGATGAAATACAAGTGAAAGACGTTTCTCTCAGGGCCCAAGTGGGCAAGGGAGTGACAGCTTATATTATCACTTTCCATGGTGACCATGATCTGAAATTTGGGGATAACATATATATCAGTAAAATTATCTCTCAACTTGTGGTTCTAGTAGCCATATACCTGGAATATTTAATCTAAAAGTCAAAATTCCTCCCACCACATGTGGAAGAAAATGGGACTTTCTGGTTAAGAGCAGTGTGGAGCAAGATGATGCAGCCCAGTATTGCTTAGTGCATTGCAAGGCAGATGTCACTGAGTAACACACCAACATTCATTTGAGGTCCGCAGATTTGCACGGATGCTGCTGTAGCTTGTTTTGATTCTGTCATACTTGAGGCAAGAGCAGATTAGGTATGTTGTGGGCAGCTATAATAGATAGCTACAGAAATTAGCTCAAGGCATTTAAATGATGCTCTGACATGAAGGGACATCTGGAGATTGATTCATTCCTCACTGCCAAATAGATGTTATCATAGTGGAGTGACAACTCCTGAGTGGCTTGTTACTGAAGAACAACATTCTGATTGGCTTCCCAGGCATATAGTCTCTGATTCCAACCAATCACAGAGCAGAAACAGTCAAAGAGAATTGTACTATTTTTGTTTTGATTGATTGTTTCCAAATCTCTCATTTGTATGACCGGCTCCACTACCAGAAGATGTCAGGTGGTGGTGGTGGTGGTGGTTATTATTTCTAATTCTCTAATTTGACCATTGCCATATAATTCACATCACTGCACACCTCAGCCAGTTGGTAGCTTTATATTAGGAAAAAGTTTGCATTTGATTGGCTGCAATTTGTGATAATAAACAGTGGTCAACAATCTGACTGGCTGGCATGGATTCACTAGGGTGTAGGAATTGGCATCTTATTTTATGAAAAGAATATGGATTGGCCAAGCAGGAGAGAAGATATGGATTAAAAAGAGCTGGAGAGAACAGACATTTTAAATACATTGTGAAAAGGAGCAGGACCTACTTGGCTAAATAAACTTTGGAAAGCTGAGAACTTGGATTCAATATCCAACCTGAGCAAAGTGGGAATGGTGTTTTCAGTGTGGGCAGGATGGATTGATGCAGTTTGGATCTGGCAAATGTATTTCACTGTGTGTCTTAGCTATAGGATTTTCATCAACTGTGCCAAGCTTTGTAAAATGCATAATTTTCCCTCTCTTTTCCAAAGCAATCTTGGTAGGGTAATGTCCAATAATATATGGCTTCAGAGGAATTTCTGGACTTAGAAAGTTGATTCTAGAGAAGGGAGAGAGATTTGAGAAGGGGAGCTAGAAGCTAAAGTAGTGTTTGCTCTGAGAAGAAAATAAAGTCCATACTGAGAAACTGCGAATTAGAGAGACCTGCTCTCCATCAGGCTCTGAAATATGTAGCAAATGACATCGGTACTTCCTGTACTTGCTATACTAAATCTGTTGAGGCCTGTGGGAATCTCAAACAGGTACTGTTTCTCAGGATGTTGCATCCTGAAAAGAGCTTCACTCTGATGCCAGCCTGTTGTGCAGTACCAAGGGGAAGCAGAGCCGTGACAGAAGGGAGGTGGAACAGAGAGACAGGGAGGCTGAAAGCTGAAGAATAGAAGTTCCAATCTTCCCAGCAGTGGTCTCAGAGCCCCTCCTGGTGGCCATTTGCTGTTTTTTTTTTTCCTCTGGAGAATCTGAATTATTTGAAGCCAACCACTTCTTCCCGTTTCCTTCATTTGCCACGCCTTCAGTATTGTCTCCACATTGCAGATAGCAAGAGTGTCCACAGTGTGGCTCTGCTCCATCCTCCCTCCACCACTGGAGAGCAGATTGTGCCTGCATCTCTGCCTTGACTTTTCCAATCAGAAAAAAATTTGAACTTCCAGATGCCAGGAAAGTTTCTGTCACTGCCTGAAGAAACTTCACATAATACAGTGTCAGCTTCCCTTCCAATCCCTGGCTAGGTTGGAGGAAGGAAAACATTCTTTATCTCCCAGTCACCTTGAGACTATTCCAGTTTTGGGGGAGCAGAGGGAGAAGACAGCTGCTGGGTCTGGGATGGGGAGGAAGTGGAACAGCATAGAAGATGGTCTCTAATGGTGGGGGCCACTTGTGACATGGGGCTGGCTCTCCCTTTGGCTGGAGGGCATGGCCATTTTTGGGGAACCTGGATTACAGAGACTTTGCAAGACAGGGCCAATATTGCTCCATGCAGAAGTGGGCAGATGGGATTAAATATTGTGAGCACCAGCAGCAGTGACTGGAATTCCTCGTCTCTAAATGAAATCTTGTAATTTGCATTATATAACATGCAACTGCTAGCAATAGCCTATCAGCTGCAAATACAGGTATCAGATGGTGTTTTCAGCTGAGATAAAAAAAAATCCTCTGACATTGGTAGTTCAAAATAAGCTTGTTGTCTTTCTTGCCTCTGAGGAAGTTTTGGTTTCTACTAAATTTACTGAATTCTCATCAATTTTTATTGATAAGGCAGCAAGCCCAGCCAGGGTTCAAAAAGTTGCATTCAGCTCTATGCTTTCCATGACAGTAGCAGAGTCTCAAGAGCAATTGCATGAAAGGCGAGATAAACAGAAAGAGAGAAGTTACATCATATGATATGGAGGTGCTAGGAGACATTCTTATCTAATTTCAGCAGAAGGAGTAGCAATGGCAAAAATCCCAAATTCAAGTTTGATGTGGTACGACAAATAGATGTCTATAGTCATCCAGGTTCAATTCTCACTTAATGCCAAATTTGCACTTTCTGCTTTTCCCATCGCCAGTATGGGCCACCCACCATTTCTTGAGTGCAGGAACAGACATCGCAATCCATCACTTAACCCAATGCATTATAAAATGTACCTCCCACCTAAATTTTGTTGTTCTGCTTCAGAAATACAGTTTTCCATCCTGAACTGCCTTAATCCCTTCCAAGTGGCTCATCCACAATGCTTTATTCCAATCTAGGGAAATCTCCATCTCTAACTGGCTACGGGGGCTGGCATGCCCCTTCCTCCCCACTCCCACTCCCACCCCAGCAGCTGGTTCTGCCCTGTATAGCCATTTCACCCTGGGCTGCTATGTTCTCAGCAGCTTCCTTAAAAAAAAAAAAAAGTTGATCTAACTATGGCCCATAAAGAATGGAGTCTGGTAAAGCCTCCTGGCTATCATTGTTTTCCCCACCACTTCTGCCAGCACTCCTTAATTCCACACTTATATCTCCCAGTGGTCTCCCTTTCAATTTCTGCCCAGGGTGGCTGAAGCACACTCTCCTTTCTTTCCTACCCTGTGCCCCCTGTACTGCAATGATTCCCTTTCTCTTTGTAAGTTAAACTATCTTTAATTTGCAGGGTAGGCCCATTGGAAGGAAACTGCAATGATTCTCCTTTACTTCTGTGAATCTGAACCATCCATTCAGATGGTTCAGTTAAAATGGAAGAATCTGTATTAGTGTAAAGGAAGAGAGCACGGGAAGGGGGAGTGAAGGCTCCCATGTACATAATCATCTGGGAAAGCAAAGGAAAAGAACAGGGACTACTGAGGAGGAAACAACCCCTCAAAGGAAAAGGCAGGTTCTGGGAGGCCCATCCACACAGATGCTAGCCAGTAAGGCTTCCCTCTCTCTGCATGAATTGGAAGGGCAAGAAGCAAGGAAACAACTAGTCAGGGCTTGACCTCCTTTGCAGGGTCATTAGAAGAATAAAATTGGTAAGCAGCAACTTGCCTTCAACTTCTTAAATGAAAGGGTCTGAGGGACAAAATCAGATATTAGGCTGGTGACACATGTGGTCTGTGCTCTTTGGTCACACCCAGCTCAACCTATTCTGAGCCTTCTTGACATCATCAGTTTGTTATTCTATACACTGGCAGCAACGCTTAATGACAAGGGATGGAAGCTGTGGATCTCAAGACCCAAGCATATTTTACAAAAGAGGATAGAAAGGAAAGGAAGCAAACCAAATACAGGGCTCCCATTTTCAGTAATGGTTGTATGTTTATCATGTTCTTCCCAAATAGTTTGAAGCATATCCCTATAAATGTGTGGTGTGCATGTGACAAAAATAGATGTATGGAATTATATGTGCAATTCATGTGGAAACATTTCTCTGAGAATCAGTGCTGGCTACTGGCTGTAGCAACCTATTAAATGTATACTTGATGGCCAGCCTGGATGAAACAATCTCAGGAGGTGTCATTAGGTTATTATTATAAGAAGTTGATGGGCACAGTACTGTGGTGCAATATGAATGGAAATCAGAGATTGGGGTGCTAGAGAGGGACCAATAATGGGAGCTATCAGTTTGCTTGAGACTGCAATATGGCAAAGTCACAAAGAGCCTAGAAAACCCATGGGATGGGTCTTAGTGGGTATTTCAGTATCAGGCATGAGAAAAAGAAAGGAGTTTATCAGCATCTCAATTTTAATTCTGCCTCTCTCTTTGTGTCTTCTTCTGCTCCAGTCTTGGTTCCTCTGACAGGATCTTCAAGTGAAGAAAAATGATAATGATGATGATGATGACGACAATGATGATGATGATAATTTTTCACTCAAGCCCTGCGAATCAGAATCTTCAGTCCTTAACCTATATCTTCACTGAGCTGCTCCTCTTCAAAGAAAAGTAAGAGACATTGGGTAACACAGATGAGAAGCTTAAAAAAAATCATGTTGGACCTCCCTGATCCAAAGCAGATTTTGCATTTGCATAGAAGAGTCTTGTCTTCTCAAGGAATCTCATCAACTCACACTGAAGTAACTCTCTGGTTAAATGATGTATAAGATAGTCCTGGACTGGCCACCCAAACAATGGTTTGTTTATTTGTTTGCTTGTTTGTTTAAAAAGGGATTTCTCTTCATTCATCAGGGGAAAGAATCACTCACTCACATCAACCAGTCTCAAATCCCAAAACTGTCTCAAGATTTATGAGGGATTATGTTTGCTGGGGAATGAAAAAGAAGACTGTTCCCTAGAGATTTGTCTATTACTAGCCTAAATCCAAGGTGATTTCTGAATACACTAAAGGAACTAAGAGCACTTGCCTAATCAGAGCTTGTTCCTTGGTTGCTTTTAAAAAACACCTGTAAAGACAGGTGGAGACTGCAGGCAAATCAAGTTTGCTCTCAGTTCCACTCAGTTACTGTGAGTATAATTGCAAGGCCAATTCAGTGTACCATCGTGGTTCAGATCTGGAAATGGTTTTGATTCAACATTACTTCTCCCACCAAACATACGTTCCCTTGTTAACCAAATTAACATTGCATCTCTATAAATGAAAACAAAGCAAAAGCAGAAACACTCCTGAATACCAGATGCTCAAACAGAATTCCATTCCAGAGCAAGGAGTAAACTTCTCTTCCTCCACGCCTTCCTCAGACATGCATGTAAACCCATTTACCCTAGCACCTAATATTTTCTCACCTGATCTTGGTATCTAGTGCTTCCTTGTATTCCTTGCTCTGGATGAACTTTTCCTGCATCTCAGAAAAAAGTAATGTCTGGATTATATGGAAAATATTTCCAGTCTTACTCTGCATGAACTGGAATTCCTTTCCCCTTAGTAACAAGAAATATGGGCACTCTTCAGTTCATGACGACAAGTAAGATTTGACTGGAAAGTGTTTCTCTTTGAAAAGAAACTCCTTGCTGCTATTGCAAATGGACAAATATTTAGGATAGTACAGTATTCATTCTTTTATAAATAACAATTAAAAAAAAGATTAGCAAGACAGCAAAGAGTCATACTACAGTTACACCCCAAGCTGATAATTGGGGCTAGGGTAGCTGGCTCAGACAGGTACGTTTCAGCAGAGTTCCCAGCCTAGTCTAGGCTTCGGCCTTGTGAGATTGTGGGTGTCTGTTGTTACTATGGTTTGATACTTTTCCTGATCCCTTTTCTCCACTTCATTTTCGTCCTCCTTGAGTTGTTGCATTTCCTTTGGCTTCCTCTACATACAGGTGACACCAGCAAAGAAATTAAATTCAATGGGGTTTTGTTGTTACTGTTAAAACAAACAAAAACAAAGCCTTTAACAGTCTCAGCAGACCACAGCGCAACAAAATAAATTGTATATAGTTAGAAGTAATGGAGGCTGCCTAATGGGTAGCTGTAAGGGTTTGACACTACCATCTGTACACCATGTGCAAATGCACACATGTGCACCAGATCAGTCACACAGCTCCACGCACTTTCCTCTTTCCTTGTCTCATACTACAGCAAAACCTGTGAGAAAAACCAGCATTCATTTCTGTTGTGCACCCATGAGATAATCACTCTTGTTTCTTTTTCCAGCATCTGTGGTAGAAACCTCTCTCTCCTTAGTGGATGCTGAGTTGCGGGGACAGGGGCTTTGCCAAATTCTTTGGAGTTTATCTCCCACCTTCCACTCCATCGTTCCTGATAACTATGCTCACCTCTGCATGAGGTATCACTGGTTCTTACTGGATGACAGTGAAGTTCTATATCACAGTATGGGGCAAGGGTAGGGGTGAGAGATTGTCTGATTTGGAAAGGGCCAGAAAGTGTTGCAGGGAACGGGTTACTGTGCAATTAGTTCAGAGCAATTGTATTTAGACTCATGGCTTGCAATGCCTGAAGTTGTGTCCCAAATAATTAATTTGATCTAGAGAATCTCCTGAAGCCTTTCTACTATTTGCTACAGTAATCCCCAGTTGAATCATGGAGCATCCCAAGGATTTCTGGAGTAGACTTAGTCCAAAAGACCTGCTGGTGAGACCAAGAATCTGCACCCTTGTCCAAGTGCAATGAGTTTCCAGTTCCAAATGGAGAAACAGGGTCAAGGAAGGGAATCTGAGGGCTGCAGATTTGCCTCTCTCCTCTGCCAGCAGTAGGCTCCCATGCTTATCCTACAATCCACATGTGAGAGGAATGTCCTGAATTCCCCTGCCCAATATACGCACATGCATACGCGCACACACCAGCAGACACTCCTATCCAAGGCCTGCTCTTGTGGAGGATTCATAGAGCCTGACCTTGCACAGCTGCAGGACAGCTGCTGTACAAAGGGGGAGGTCTTCTCTCTGAGGAAAATTGTAACAGAGTGAGCAGCCTGTGTTTAGATATTTTGGGCTGCTACAAAGAGGAGACACTCATCTGATGCTTTAGTCATTGGTGTGAACCAGGTCTGTTCCTGTCCAGTAAGAATACCTGAATTTCATGAATTTTAGGATTAGCACTCTGCCTGCTGCTTCTGTCATACCAGAGGTCCTCTCACAGTATCTTCTGTAAATGTTATTCAGAAATTAAATATAATCTACCAGAGATAACATTTGAATGAACATTCACACCATGACTGTTGATCCCTCTTTCAGAGGGAGTGAGAGTTGGGGCCAAATCAGTGATATGGGCAGAATTTGGAAGCAGCAGCTACAATTAGAACACAACCCCGTTCCATGTTATGAAAGGTTGTAAATTCCCCAGTTTGTAAATGCCCAAAGTTAGTATCTGTTTCTTTAAGAACACTAAGCCATGGATAAATTTTGCAGCTGTGGGCATTGATACAGTTCCTACCCTGGTGGCCTTAAAAAAAAGAAAAAGACACCCTTGGACTATTCAGCCTACTGTTCACTACCTTTTTTGCAAAATATCAATATCAAGCCTTTTCTAGTCTGGTTGCATTGGAAAGGATTCCAATGTATAATAAGGCTTGGAGATGTACTAATGTTAAACATGACTCATGCTGTAGCATTTGAAATGCTGTATGATTTTTATTTGATTTGGTCATAAGAGCATTTGAAACATCCCCAGATTGAGAAGAATTGTGCCCCCACTACCCCAAACATATCCAGGCTTCTGTTTGTGTTAGGGTTGACAATTTCTGAGTACAAAGATACAAAGTATGAAAAATGTTTTAAGTATTAAATCATGAAGATCACAATAGTCCGGGTGACCCTTTTTAGTATGCAATATTCCAGACCACCATTAGATTGCCTCCAAGACCAGTGGCCATCTGGATTTTTGTAGCCTAGATAGATATGTTAGCCCTACAAGAACTGATACTGCTCCATTCCTTCAGTTATTAAATATATTTAGTAAGTTTATTCACTTATGACACTGAATGCTTTCCTTTTAAACAATCCAATAATTTAATTCAGTTGCTTGAAGCTTCTAACCTTAATGCTCAGCATTGATCAGAATGGGTTCCCTAAAAACAGGAGGTGGATAGGTCTGGGGAAAAAAGTAGGAATTGCAGGAATCCAGAGGCAGGTGACCACCAATGAAACAGCACTTAAAATGGTAGGGGATGGTTGGGAGAGTAGAAGTTTACTGTTATTTAATTCTGGAAAAGGAAGCTTTAAATCCTAAAGGTGCTTAAGCACTTATTTAATACTTGGGATTTTTAAAAGGTAACAGATGAATAACAGTAGTGTGTGGGTGGGTAGATGGAATACCAGTACCATCCATTTACATGTTACCTTGTTTGAGTCCTAAAAGAAGGGTAAACGTAAACCCTGAGAATGAATCCATAAGGGGTGACATGGAGGAATTTCAATTTTGGTGGCTTGCAGGTATGGGCAGCAAAAATACATAAAAAGTTTTGTTTAAAAGGGGGAGGGGATTTTAAAAAACGAAATATATATTAGGGGTTTTAAAAGAACCAATTTTGTTTGCATTGAGCCAAGTGCAATGGAGTGCATAGTTTTAATATCTTTGTATGTTAAAAATTGTTAAGAAGAAGAGAAAAAATCTATTTTTGTTGCAAAGTCCTCTGTTCCCAGGGACTCTAAATAAATTGGGACAAAAGAAAAACCCACCTTTGTAAGTATGGGGAAAAAAAAACTTTTTCTGTTTATTTTTTCATTTGTCTATTTTTCCTTTTTTCTTGTTTATTTTTTAAATCCTTTTTTAAAAGATTGATAATAATTGGGGATTGGTTGTTGTTTTTTCCCTTTCCTCATTAGTTTTGTCATTTTATGGGAGGGCTGAAGGCAAAAGTTTTGTCATACACAAAATAAAATTGTAAAAAATACTGTATCAGGTTAAAAAATTGAAGAAAATTACAAAATTAAAAGTAAAGAAAAGAAGAAAAAAACTAAAAAAACTAAGCTGAAAAAAATTAAAAATACAAAACCTGGTGCTTCTTACAGTATAAAATACATTAAAATCTCTATTATACATAGTTTATGAACCAATTAATTGTTATCATAAAGCACATTTTAGGAAACACGCATTATCCCTTCTTTATGTTTAGCTGAAAGGGGCAGCGGGCTTTGCGGTCAAACGCACCAGCAGCATCTGGCAGCTTCTCATGGATCTTCCCAGGTTGCCGAGCGAGATGGGTGATGGTGAGGTTGCCATGGCAAAGGGGGAAGGTTCCTAATGAAACAGAGGCCATCCTGGATAGGCTGTGTTTCTCTGGCTCCTTCACCCTTTCAGCACCCTCCATCACTGCCACCGCACATCCTCCTCTTCTGTGTTGTTCTTCTGCCCTGTCTTTTCCCAAAAGGAGCTAAGCAAAACAGTTGACTTGGTGTTTGGCCTTCATTTCTACCCCCGCTTTCTTGTAAACCAGCCTAATTGCAATGTTGGATTTTTTCCCCTTCTTTTCACTTTCTCTCATATATGTATCTGTGGCTCAATGGCTTCTCTTTGGAATGAGGAGCTGATCTATGAACTCACCAGCATCCCTTCCATTGAACTCTTCGCATTCCTACCCCCGGAGTCGGTTGTAACTCCTGCTTGCCCTTTCTCACAGCCTTCCTTGTCTGTTGAGAGGAATCCTTCCTCTTGGCTCATTGTGAAATTGCAAGGCAGGAGGGTTTGTGTGCAAAGCAGAAGTCCAGACTCAGATCATAGCCCGCACCTCACAGAGCACGGGAGACTGACTGGAGAAATTTCTCTCTCCAGGGAAGGACCAAGATGGATGACTTTGCCTTACTCTCAACATGCTTAACTGGCCAGCTGACATAGTGCCTTTGTAAACCCATCTTTTGTTGGAACAGATGGACCATGTGCTCTGCCTGGGGAGTGGGTGCAGGAAATTCCACCCCCTCCTACTGTAATCCATGTGCTCAATATAGGGGAAAGCAATAAAAGCCTAGGCTTGACCAGCAAGAGGGAGATACTTGGGCTAAACGTGGTGGTACCTAGTCCTCTTTGGCCTGGCTACTGCTGTCCCATCCAAAAGAGAGGGTCAGCAGCACCAAGGAGAGGGTAAAGGAAGCATACCTCCTAAACAATCCTGAAGGCAACAGGAATTTTCCCCCCAACAGCCTTTCTGCACTTGGGTTTTTCCAACCCCCTTTCATGGATCCCTGAGTTCTCTGTTTGCATGAAAGGGTGGCCTGCTCAGCTCCTTTCTCCCAAGTGATGCTCAGTTGCGGGTTCCCTTGCTAGCCCAGGAGGGTGTTATAGTTCCTTAGGGCCCAAGACAATTTCATTGGTGGGCAATCATCCTTGCCAGGCTCTGTCCCATAAATGTATTAGCACTCTCCTTGCTCTCCCTTCAGCTCTTGGTTTGGGGAAGTAAGCTGTCCCCTGTTTGGCGGCCAGTAGGCTGGCAGTGAGCCTCAGACGCTACTTGCTATGGAGCTCTTTTTTCCTCTGTCCTTTGCTTTAGAAGAGCAGTTGAGCCTTTCTGTCCTTCCTTTCACAAGGTACCTTTGACAACCCACTTGGCCTCCCCCTTCATACCCTCCATATGCCCCCTCCCCGTTAATCTCAGACCCACATCTCTCGCTCGGCAGCAAAACCTTGAGATCCATGAAACTGCAGCTTCCCAGACTGCAACCCACCCCTGCCCCTTTGAACAAGTTTCTTCCTTGGTTAAGAAACGCAGTATATATATGAGTACAGTACAGTATATATATATAGTACTAATGGAATTTGGTGTGCTTTTTCTCCTCATCCCTGACTCCCTTGCCTCTTTCCCTGTACCCCCAAGCCTCCCTTTGTGTCTTTCAGTCTGTTTTTCCAGTTCCCCCCACTCCTGGCCCTAACCCTCCGCACTTGAAAATAAAGGGTAGCTCTTTGTCTGTTTTTGTTCTTTCTGAAGTTTCTTCCGTGTCTAGCAGAATGCAGGTAGCCATATGTTATAACTGTCAATATTGCTTCACAACAAAAAAAAAATATATAGGAAAAAAAAGAAAAAAAAGAAAAAAAAAGAAAAATCTGAACTGTTTTATCATTTTTGCCTGAGCTTTCTTCGGCTTTCTCCATTGGAATGGCTTATTGTGTTATGTGAATTTAAAAAAATTAAAAAAAGTTTTAAAAAAAATTAAAAACAAAAAAAAACTACATACTTTAAAAAAAGAAAAAAAATCATCGGCTTCCCTCTTCCCATTCCCACCAGTTCCTTCCTCAGAGCAGAGATGGGAAGCCCAGTGGAGGGAAGTGCCGAGGGCTCCAAGGTCATGTATCTGTGTCTGTGTTGGTGGGTGAATGGGGGGGGTCAGTTTTCCTTCTTCCCCATTCCCCTACTTTCTGGAGGAGCTGCTCAGAAACATCAAGATTAGACTCATTTCTTCCATATATACATCCCGCCAGCTTTTTGGTCAAATTTTAAAGTGCCTAAGAGGTATATATATATATATAATTATTTTTCAGCAGAGAGTAGTTCCTGTTTATTTGGGACTGAGCATCTTTGTGTCATGTCTGCCAGCACAGCATCTGCTGATGTGTGGAGAAGTGGCGGCGGCTGCTGCTGCTGCTGCTGCTGCTGCTGCTGCTGCTGCTGCTGTTGTTAATCCTCTGCGTACCTCCTTGCAACCTCTTCTCTGAGGCACTTTTCTCTTTGCAAGGCTCACTTCTGGCTGAGGAGAAAAGCACTGGTGTGGAGCCAGCAGGAAGGTATGCCCTGGGCAGGGAGAGGACCTAGCACCCTTCACCCTCCTTTGCTCTTAAATCAAGCCCTCCTTCCCTCCCTCTAGATATCTGATTAGGGCAGCCTAACTCTAAAAAGATGGGCCTACTGCTGTCATATCTAGCGTGCCAGGGAGTATCACGGCCAAGTTTCACTTTTGCCTTTGAATACTGCAGAGGACCTATTTCAAAAGTCATTTAGGCACCTTTGGGTTTCCAAAAACCTACACCGTGTTTGCCAGAGGCTGCTGTGATCTGAGAAAGGAGGCAAGATAAGAGCAAATTATCAGAGGCCTGAGATCCTGGGAGTTCAGTAGCCAATCCCAAGGGAGGATCTGAGGGATGTCAGGCTCAACGTTGGGAGGAAAGAAACCTTGCTCCTGTTTCCCATGGAGACTTGGAGGAGCGTCCCTTCCAAATGGCATGGAGTTAAACTATCTGACTTAGATGGCAAGTAAGCCCGACAGGCCTGCTTCTTCCCCCAAATCTTCTTCCCTAATTTTTGTAGAATGTTTTGTCATGTCTTCCACTTCTTGCAGAGGTAAATGGTTCCCAGTGATGCCGTTCTGTTTTTCCCCGGCCAGGGAATATGACCGCACTCCCTAGGGCTACCAGATCTAGTGCAGGACCACTAGAAGGCAGCAGAGACATACAGTATAGAAAACACTAATATTTTGCTGCCATCTAACGGTCATCCAGATTTTTGCAACCCAGATATGGTAGCCCTAAAAAGTGCTTCCTTCCCTAGCCCACTCAGGATGTTTACAGGAAGGGCTCTTTTACCCCTGCAACAAGAACCCCTACTTCGACTTGGGCCTA